TTGCACATATTTTGCAGTTTCTTCTGAAACAAACTGTCACTACTAGATCCTATTCTCATGCATAGGAAACCTCAATTGCTCATACAAAGCTGAGTAGAGACTAGTTACTCATCGCCTGGCTCTACCCATGCAGGGGGAAGCCCCAAAAACTAAAAAAATAGTCCCTTTAGCACTGCAAGTCCCTTGAGCAGGAGCACAGTTGAACTGGCAGCGTGCAAGAATCTTTTTACCTGGAAAGGATTTTAGTCTTTGTGGCCAGGAGGCCAGTTAGTTTTGTGGTGGAATACTGGGAGCTGGGTTTTTATTGCTTAAGCAAGCAGTAAGTTACCTGCAAAAGCAAGTCTCCCATACAAGAGATCCAGTACTCCAGAAAGATGGAGAAAAATATTGAAGTTTATTGAATTTGGAGATTTAAGCTACTTTACTTAAGTTACTCTTAAGAAACCAGCTGCCATAGGTGTTAATTACTATATAATTTCCTGAAAAATAAGTAACTGTTTCTTAGTGAAAAAGGATTATCATAAGACAGCACAGCTGAGACCCTGAAGTTATTGCTCCTCAGAAGATAATTTCTAAATTATCTCCACTAACACTGTGCAAATTGCAATATTAAAAGCTTCATTAGAAACAAGCAAGCAAACAAATGACATTTCCTTTAGGCAGTGTATCCCTTGCAGGTGCTGAAAGGAGTACATTGAAAGGGAAATAATCACTTGTATTTAGCGCAGTGTTTTGAAAACGACTAATTATTGGAAGCACCGATCAAATTAAAAATCAAGATTGGTTATGAAATGCGTATTTCAATAACTTTGTTACAGAAGCAAGCGTTTGATAACCACATGCATTAACGTTTTGTCACAAGCTATGGCCAAAGAGGCCCAGCCACGCTGTGCCCATGCCGCCTCTCCCACACTCAGCTCATCTGCTGTGCAACCAGCTCGTGGAAGTGCAACTGCCCAAGACACAGTAAGCAGCCCAAACATACGTACCGGGGCCTAAAAGGAAAAAGCCAACACACCCGTGAAGAAAGAGTAAATATAACGGAAAGTGAACTAATTCACACCTACACATCCTAACCCAGGCAGGCTGGGAACGCTCACACTGCTTCTACTCTACTCTCGCGTGATCTTAATTCTATTCCCCAATGACACAACACAGCAGAGAATTCTTACGGTTAAATCAGGTCAATAACCCCCAAAATACTACCTCCTAAGGCACTGAACGTGTAGCCAATACACAACACAAAGGAACTGATACGAACAATATTGAGAAAACAGCTTCTAGAAGATGAAGGTGAGCAGCATCTGGAACACACGGGCGTTTCTCCCACTAAGCACACACTTGGGGACTCCTGAGTAATGTTTCACCCCTCTGCTTACTGCTGAGCAGTGACTAAGCCCCAACTTCTCCTGCAGGCATTTAAAAACATGGGAAGTTTTTCTGCCGGGGAAGATGCTGAGGAGCAATCTGAGTAAAAGAAAACATATGTTCAAGAAAGAAGGCAGATATCCTCACGGCTTCCCATATGTGGTGTTCTGGAAAGTAGAAAGGAGGCCAGCTCCATCACACAAACACACACAGCTTCACCTGTGCAGGCAGCACATTTTTCAGACTCTACCCACAATCTACAGAAAACCTATGTATTTTCTCCTTCCATCTCCAGTTCCCCATTGTCAAGTATTTTATTTTGGTCTTACAGTGGCATTAAATGTTCGCACTTGACTGAAGAAAAGAGCAATTTTTAGGTCCTACTACATTTTGTCAGGGCTCAGTACATTCTCTTTTGATTTCTCTGTAGTGACAACGTTGCCTGTTTGCCTTATCAGAGGATGAGGTCTAAAAAAAAAAAACCCTCAGAAAAATCAGATTTTTTCTGCATTCCTTACTTTGGAACTTTTCTTCTGAAGCTAGTCAAGTAAATTCAGTGAAAATAAATGTTACTCTGAGTCAATACTAGCACAATCAGATCACCGGTCTGACCAAGAAGGATGGTGCTATACAGTTTTTTGGAAGGCTTCTCCAATTTAGAAGGCTTTTTCAAAACAAAGCTTTAGTCAATTTAAAATAAATATAAACATTAAGGTTTCCCAAACACAGAAGATGGATATTTTTATTGTTACATAGTTTCTTTTTCAAGTAGGACTCTCAAAGGTTTGTTTCTCACTTTGTCAATGCTTCAAATGTTTACACACATTCCCTCCTTTGCAGGTATTTCGGACACTACTACCCAATACCACGTCGCTGGCCATCACCACTAACAGGGGATTTAAGAGCTCCATCTCCAAACTGCACGTTCTCCAGGTTCTACGGCTCAAGATGGTGACTGGAGAAGAAAGGGCAAGTGTAAGACCACAGGGACTGCCCCCCGACAACGGGAAAGAGGGAGTTGTGAGCTGGTGAGGTGCAGAGCTGTCCACAATCGATCCTTCGGAAGATGAACTACTCCGTTTCATGTTTCAGCCTGGTCAGCGAGGACTCACCTGGCGTTTCGTTTTTGTTTGAACTGCTCAGAAACCTTCGCTCTTGCTACAACACTGAAAATGAGCCGTGGTCAGACATCACTCCAGTCTGACTCAGCACACCGAGCGCTGACGGAGGAACAAACCCAGGAGCTGTGTTTTTCATGAATCAAGATGTAAAAGCTATCAACAGCAAACATAACAGAATGATGTTTTGAAAGACTAAAAATGCAGGGTACCTATCTGTTTACAGCAAAGACTGCTCACACTCTTTGATGAAACGTGCTGTTCACCTCTGAGACACAAACTGCTGTGAACGATGGCACCTGAGAACAGCAAACTGGCAGCTAAGAATAGGTCAAAAACCACAAAAAGCAGGCACCGCTGCTTCCCTCCCTGAATGCAGGCTTGTTCGGCACCACCACCTACTGCCGTGTCAAGAGGTATGACTAACTGCACGGATGCACGATGCCAAGCTATGGCAACCGCTGCAGCTGAACACACGAAATCCCAAACGGCTCCCTGAAAGGCTGTTCTGGAATTTTCACTGCAAGGAGGAAGCACAGGTTTAACTATTTCCCCTGCAATCATCCTTTGTAGTGTTTCACTAATCGACACGTCCTCGTTCCAACACGCCTCTTGCCCTTTTAAAACTCTGACCACCCATTTCCCTACTTGAAGGGACTCACTGGTGTGCCGTCCTAATACACAGCGTGCTGGCTGTTGGCCAGGGGCAGGAGGAAGACAAAGGCAGAGCAAGGAGGGCAACATCTTCCCAACCAGGAGCTAGCTACTTACACCCTTCTGAACTAAGGTTTACAAACAAAAATTTATCTTACATCAAACTAGAACTTTTTCTGCAGGTGACTTGGCTTTTACTCATTAGGCATCTCTTACGGGTAGAGGTTTCTTTTGGGAGATACACCACTCTGTGGGAAATCACTACGACAAGCCAACTGCCCTCAGCTCTGGCCGCAGGGAGGGATGGAAACCCCAGCTGCCTACTGCCAGAACTCAAAATCCCTGCTTTAAACTGCTCACACAGCAAGGGCTGGCTTTTGGTAGCTGTGCTTAATACACACAGGCCTGGCTGGCTCGTGGTAAATAAACACAAGGACATGACAAAACATTATGAGCGTGTCCTATTTTAGAAACTGTGATTGTCAAAATACATCAAGTTAGCTTTGATCTTTTTCCATAAACTTCAAAGCACCAAATCCTTAAACATCTGTCATTAGTTAAGCTCCAAATTCAGTCAACCACCGGAAGACATATAGAGCATGGATGTAACTGTACTAAGCAAATTCTACGTACATAATCTTTTACTTTTAATAGTAGATCTGCCACTGAAGTTTAGAGAATATGGAAGCATTTACCAAACATGGTTGAAGGGTTTATTATTTTTACACAAATGTCATAAAAAAATTGCTGTACTTGTTACTAACACAACCAAATTCAACACAAAGATGAGCACTGTTAAACAGTACAAAACATGTACAAGTTTTAAGTGAGAAAGCACATCATTACTGAAACAGCTTCCTCTATAAGGGAAAGCTTTTCTGATTTTTTTTCGCCATTGGTATTACTAGGGACATTACATAGAAATTCTAGACAGCACTGTAAAGGAAACTGATTATTCCTACCGCTATTACCACTACCATCCTGCAGAAATCGGAATGCTTAAAGCAAGCCTAAACCTCTCAAGCACACATGCAAGTAGCTGCATGCAGGGAACATGCAAACCCAACACCTACCTCCACTTTCCACCTTTGGAAAGAAATACACGCAGGTAAACCAAAAATCTTTCCCTTGACTTCCAAATGAAACAGAGAAACAAGTGTACATTGCCTGCAAACAAGCCTGCCTGCAATCTAGTAATCTTAATTATCTCTAAAAGGCTACAAAGTCAAACTCCACAGTACTGGATCATCAGAAGGGTGAAAAACAATTTCCTACTGCAACTGAACTCGCCACATCTGAAGCAGAAACAACTCTATTTCCTTGGGATATGTATTTTTGTACCTCACAAGGTTTGTCAGTGCGTACTGAAGCATTCTTTATTCCCACGGGGACCAACCCCACAGGCGAGGGCACGTGTACGGTACAAACACGTTCTCCCACTTCGCAGTCAGGTGCCTTTTATTGATCTGCTGGTCAGGTCTCACCACGAAGTTACACGACTTCCATCTTCTGCAATCTGTCTGGTCACTGAGAATTTCTGCTACCCAAGCAAGGCATGATTCTTTCAAGGATTATTTCCCATTTACAATTCTTTGAAATGGTACAGGAGAGAGCAGGGAAAAAACACCAGAAAACGTCCTACCCTAACAAAACCAATCCATTAATTACAGTATAATATTCTCTCTTTGGAGATAGTTCTTTCTGAAGTATCCCGTTAGACATTTGAATCAACAACTACATTGCAACTGCAACCGTCACCATCAGATGCTTTGTAAGAGTACAAAAAAACCCTCACAGATTGGAGCAACAAGTGCTGAGGGGTATTGAGAAAAATACTCATATAGCCATTTAGTTACTTACATTGTTGTTGCGTGTTTCTACTGCTGGAAACTTCCTGACTATGAATTTGACAGCAGATTCCAGGTTTTTGTCAATAAGATAGGATGGCTTGGCTTTGGGGTCGCCGCATGCCTATAAAAAAATACAATAAAAATGAAGTAAAAACACAATCGACAAGCTAAGGCTAAGTGATAGTTGCAAATCTGAAGACAAACTAGAAAGATTCTTTGTTTTGTTTGTTTTTAGTGAGCAGGTGATAAAATGAAAGGCAAAGTGCAGGGACTGTCACAGCTGAAATATGCAATGGGAAACAGTACAGAGATGCTCTTCTACTGAAAAAGATGCATGGAAGTATCAAAGCAGTTAGTGCAGAACAGCAGTGAGGGGAAAAACTCAATCCTAAAAGAAGGAGAAAAAAAATGGTTTCCTTTTAATGCTATTCCTGGTTTGAGGTAGTGTTGTATTCATCTGGAGTTAATAAAGTGTTAGAAAATTCAATCATGTCATCATCCGTGGAGGACAGTGCTGGGCACATTAAATGATTCAACTATCCTTTGTGAAACAAAACTAAAAGCCCCACCAGCAATCTGCATTTAATTTTTCTTTAAATATGAACTTCAAGACAATTTTCCATCCCACAGTAAAACCACCAGTACTTGCCTAAAGCATCCTATTTCCTTAGATTAAGAACTCGAGTTTTGCTCCTTTTCTTTACTCCTATAGTAGCACAGGCTGTGCTTTAAAAGCAGCAATCAAGACATTGCATTAAATTTTGATTTGAACAGAAGTCACAACTAAGTCTCTTCAAGAACTGACACAGACATACCAGGAGAACAGCTTCTGTGGACAAAGGACTGACAAAGCATCTACTTTTGCCAGCTACAGCGCATGCTGTCAGACACACTACTCCTCCTCAGCTAAGCTCCCACTAGCGAGCCATGCTACTCCATTGAGTTTGGAGAAACGGACTAAAAGCAGCACTACTTACATGACAAAACTTGTGCTCAAATTGTTTTCTCTCAAACATTCATTTCATTTTATGGTCCTCACAGGGATTTGCAAAGGAGCTCTGTGTCTCATGCAAAACTGAATTACATGCTAGGCGTTTCTACGCAACACAGTGACCTCGAATGACAGCTCGTTTAACAACTTTCCACATTGATTTCTATGACCGAGTTGTGGACTGTAGAGACAGAAGTCATGGAGTATGAGACCGATTCTGAAAGCGGGCAAGCGGGCAAAGGGAAGGTGAAAAGCTTTGCAAACCTTCCAAACTTGTCCTTGCTGGGAAAGCAGTGTAATAAAAAGAGAGAAAAATTACATATAAACAGATTACTCTTCAATTCTAAAATACGGTACATTTAAGTGAACTAACACACTATTACCTACATCCGAGAGAACATTACAACCATCTGTTACTCTAGGCAGCATACTTTCTACTGGATGGTGATTATTCTAATACTCAGAAACAACTTTGCACAACAGTAAAATTCTAATAAGTACATGTAAAGTGCTGCGTATATGCTGAGACACGTAACTTTCTCATAGTATTTCCAAACTAAGTTCAGGTAGGGAGAGAAATAAAGGAGTTAACAAACATCACATGCAACTACAGGGGAAAAAAGAGAGAAACTCAGTGAAGTTTTACATACCTGAAAAAGAAACGGTAGCCAAGAAAAAAAAACAAAAGAGTCATTATTGTAAGTTTCTAAAACTCCTACCAGCAGTACATGACCATCACGATGTATGCTAATGTACTACTCTGTTACAAGAACTCTCACATTTGCTAATTTTTCCACAAAAATGCTAAATTTTATTAAAATACCATATCTATAATACTACAAGTGGAATTTATAATGGAAATACATTCAGCAACACCCACAGTATCAGTTAGATATTAAATAGTTGCTTCCATATTCTTACAGCAGCAAACAACACGTGCCACAGGTCTGTTCTGTACACACTTTAAAGTCTTTACACCATTTCAAAAGTAAAAGTTATACTGTAAATAGGTGTCAAAAAATTAAAGAGTGCACACTGCAAATTTATGAAGTCTGAGTTAACTAGATGTCATGGATTTGTCAGAATCCGGGTCAGATGATGTCAATTTGCTGTCCTTGCCACACATTATACAACTTTCTTTACTAAAAGAAGGATTACAAACTAAGAAAACAGCCCAAAAGACAACACATTTGTGGCCTGTTAAATTCCAGTGTGGTTGCTGTCATATAGGAGACAAGAAATCTGCCACTGTTGACTTTTCCGTCTGAATTCCAATGCTACTTCCACACACATTCCTTATCTTTCCTAGCAATGGACAATTTTCCTCCTATGCATCAGGCCTCTGAAACGCTCACTAGAAGCTATGTTCTGCCCAAGCCCGCACCCACAGATCACTCACACGGAAGCAGATGTTGGAGAACAGTAACACACACATCCTTGCACAGCTTATCGACGGCCAACATCGTCCTCGGTCTAACTGGCAACCCCCTCCATGCATCCGAACACGCGAGAGCCTTGCTCCTTCCTGCTGTTTGTTTGCAAGCATCTCACTTAAAGCAACTGTAATTCTTCCCACTAATAAACTACACAAGACTGATCCATAGAGAGGAAAATCGCTGCGAGATACAGAAGGTTAAAGGTATCCTTCGTACCTTTCAAAATTCCAGCCTCTAAAAAGCCGTGCAAGCCTACCGACGTGGGCTGAACAGAAAGAGGACAACAGACACCACCGAACGAGTAGGTCAATGCCTTTTCCTTCCCTCTCCGATATTCCACAGCAGCTCAGCTCCTTTCTAAGAGCTGACGCTATTGGATTACTGTTGTTGCATCAATAGTTTTCATCCCCACTGCTACGTGCATCCAGCATCGCATGTAGAACAGCCCACGTGAGCTAAACCTCTCTTAAAATGCTAAACAGACCTACGAAGCTCAAGCTCACTATGGTGTACTCTAGAAAGCATAAAAGAATGAAAATACAAACCCCAATCCTAGCACCTTCTCAGCAGCATGAAAGGGTGCTAAGGCACATAACCACTGCAGAAAGAACAAAGACATCGAGGGCAACGGTCTTGGAACATAGACAAGAGAGGCAGCTTTGGCTTTCCATACTTCTACGAAGTCAATACAACATCTCGTCAGTACTGTATGGGCAGGAACATCATGGCACAACAGACAGAGATCCCTTTGCCATATACAGCTCTAGCATTCCAACAGAATTTTGAGAATTATCAAAATGCAGTAGCCCCTTCTCAATCAGCCTCAGACATTACTTTTCCCCCCTAAGCGGGCTGCAATAACCTTTCTTCATTTCTTATCTTTAAAAAAAAATAGAATGGCTATGTTTTTTAAACATTAAAAAGAAAAGTTGAGTTAAAAACGTTCTTACTAGTGCAGAATTCATGGAATACAGTTCTGAAGCTATGGGATTCCAGCTGGTACGGCCCTGAAATATTATGCTGAAAGAATCTCCCAGTAGTCATCTCTAAATTCCTTTGTGCAATACTAAACAGCTGTCAAGCAGTTATACTGAAAAAGAGGATGCAAAGCTACCACTAGAGACTAATCAAAGTAATTAAAATAAAAATAAAATAAAAGGACTCGGGCACTGGATTTCTATCAAGTTACACAGCATTTCTCTCCACAGCACTTTAGAACGGTACCCTGCTACGATGCGCTCTCAGCTCAGTGAACGTATTTTCCTGATCTGATTCTGAAATTTCTGATTTCCTGATCGTATCTGATCAATACGATTTCTATAGCTAAGAGATTCACTGTTCAGAATACTTATTTGCTATCACATGCACAGGTCATCAAAATGCAGAGATCAGACTACACGTACTGTTCAGAGATGCTTCGCCATGCCATACGTTTTGACTTAAAGCAGTGTTTTCCTACCTACCCTCATCATCCAGGTAACTAGATTATTATTATTAAACAAAATTCAGATTCTCTTCTTCACTTGATGCTAATAGGTTCTTCTATACTATTTTCACTTTGAAAATGAAGAATGCTGTATAGCTTCACTTTCTAGGTTGTACTCATTCAGAAGTGGCCAACGAGAAAACATTCAACCACAAAAACCTGCTTAAGGTCTATCTTTAAGACAAGCAGCCTCTGCAGAAGAACACAGACTCCAGTACAACTGCCTTTGGCCCAGAATGCACCAACATTAAGAGACATTACAACAAAGAGACCTTTTGCCCAATACAGTTACAGCTATCGCTGCAAAAAAATCAAAGCCTAACATTTTACTTCCTACTTGAGAGCAAAGGACGTTGGAGGAGAACAGAAAAACATCCATCAGCAAAATTACTACATATATCCAGCTGATGTGAAGTTTATGTTCAGGTAAAACCATGGTCAAAAGCCAGAGCCACAGCGCGGTATACAGGGTGCAGATAGAAAACCTAAACTTCACTCATGCCCTTTATACAAACGTGCCACGGGCCCTTCAGTAAGAACATCAGGAAATATTACCAGAGTTACACGGTGCAGGATGATAAAAAAGGCCTAAATATGTTACTGTATTATGGAAATACCTTTTGTCGCCTTCTTTCTGTTGCTAAGCCCAACCTATTTCAAATGACTAGCAGAGTTGTTTCCCAATAAAAGAGAAACAGGGCCATGTGAATCAATAATATCCTATTTTCACCCCCCAAACCTCCTACATCAGCAGATGATAATAAAACAAGTCATATTTTGCAGCAATTTAACACATTTTTATTACTTTAAGAGTTCTTGATTTACTGTTACTGCAGACTTGCGATAAAACACTGCTGAGCACAGTTCCACTGGCCCGTGACAACATACACTGAAACCATCTTGGTCAACAAATCACCTCACCTTCAGGTTTCATTTACAAAGGAATCTGCACTAAAAAACTCTGTGAATTTAACCAGCAAATTGTTTAAATTTCAACAGCAGCAAAAACCACGTCGTCCCTGAGTCAGTAACTTTCACTAGTAAATGGAAATACGCTAAGATTTTTCTTAAGAAAAAGTGGGAAAAGCTCCTGAACGTACCGTTCCCAGTTCACTACAGCACGTTCTCTCGCCACGCACAGTAAAACTGTTGTTCTTGCCTCGTGATAGCTGCTGGCACTGAACACTTCACCCTAAAATGTATCTCTAAGTTTGAACGCCTGGTTTGCAGCCATGCATCCCATAAGTTGTACTGAATTCTGCATGGCAAAGAAACACTCAGAGACTGGTTCACCACCAGCTCTAGATTTTCGCAGGACAAAACGTATTATTTATTCTTTGTTTCTGTCATGCATTTAACATAATGAGACAAGAACGTCAGTTTACCAACTGACAATTTCTAATTTTGAAAAAGCGAAACTACTGAGAAGGGAAGAGAGGTGAATAATCGAAGGCGGGCTGCTTTGGGCGGTGGATCCGTAAGGGAACAGCTCACACTACCTTTGCCTTAACACCTCTGACCAAGCCCACCACAACTGCTTTGCTGTCCTTCAGGTTTTGTGGAAGGTGAAGCTTAATAAGGAACAGGCTGGTCCCAGACAAGCTTTGTGAATAAAGCCTCGGCCCTCTTAACAGCTGTGCAAGCAGAGGCAAGAATTAGTTGGTCAACCGTGGACAAATTGTTAGCTTATAATTTAATATTCTGATGGCTAAAATTTAACTGTCCTACACCAGTATCACTTGGGTGATCTTGTACCAAGTGAATATCGTTACTGATGTCTGCAGTTACATAAATGACTCTTGTACAAAAGGTAAACCTGTATTCTGATATATTAACTATACTAATAGATTCAACCAAAACTGTATTGTTCCCAAGATATAACCAGGATCCAGCATCAGAAGAAAGTCTCTACTTAACCAATTTTTGGACAGGCTCTGCAGAGTTTGGACATATTGAAAACACAGCTCAAAACTATTATAAATTTAACAGCTATTGCACTTTTCACGCACGAAGGTTCAAAAGTTTGGAAGATATTGCACTTTCATATTAATTCATAATTACAATTAAAGGTGTTAAAAGTCACTCCAATGTTTCCTAGAGCTAAGCAAGAAGTCTTCCCACCATTAGTCATTATTTGGTGTCTTGAACCCCAAAGTATACACTTTATTTTAAATCCTAGTGTATCTCTACTCAAAGATTCAATCTGTTAACATGCAAACTCATGTGCAATCAGAAGAAAAGGCTAGAAAGGACCTCAAGAAACTGCTTACCCCACTTTCCTGTTCCAAAGGAGGATCAACTGTACCTGTGTTGCTCCTGGGAGACGTCTGCCAAATCTTTACTTACAGGTCTCCAATGGGCTGCATTCAAAACCATTCTCACAGTCTCTTCCAATATTTAGCCATCTTTTTCACAGAAAGTTAGTTCTAAGGTCTAAACTGAATTTTTCTCGCTACAGTTTAATCCATCACTTCTTGATCTCTGAGCCCATGCTGAATTGCACAAACTATTCCTCTTTCTCTATAGCCATCCTAAATACTTCAAAATGTGTGTTGTTTATTAACTTACTTTAAAAAAATCTTCCGATTTTCTTAATGGGTGACATTTTCTGTGTCACTGATCTTTCACATCATCCCTGATTTTCTGCAGCAAAACTTAGCTGGCTCACATTTGCCCTGGCACGTCTCTCACCTTTCATGGTTATTTTCTGCAGACTTGCTATCTCATTATTTTTCATTTTGTATTTTTAAATTTCACTAAGCACAAAACAGCTCACAACCATACTTGCTCAGCCGTCTCCAAGTTTGTTAGACCATGCCTACAATTTGTTAAGCTCAAACTGAATTCCAGTTAGGTTCTTCATTACTTCTGTAGCTTCTCCCAAGTCCCCACTTACAAATTTAATTTACACTGTAGTCACCACGTAGGTTGTTAATACGAAGAGAGACTGGAACCAGAGGTAAGGCACACTCCAAGGAGACCCTGCTGAATCACAGCCTGACATGAGATCTTCCAAACCATTCCCTAAAATGGTTATCCAGCCGCTTTCATCATTACGATTTCATCCAGACCGTACTTCCTTGGATTGTTCGTGAGAACAATCGGATGAGGGAACGTCAGCAGCCTAGCTAGGGTCAACATGTAAAATCTCTTCTAAGTTGTCCATACTGGAGCGACCCGTCACCTTGCCGATCAAATACATACATTGGGTTTGACACTATGTGGACAGTGATAAATTCACATTGTCCTCTTGTGTTTGCAGCACCTGTTTAAGAAAGCACTTGGTTCTATTAATCAAACACGGGGCAGGTGAAACGCAAAGAAAAGAAAAATGGAGAGAAGTTTCACTGCCACAAAACTTTCCCTAAGTGTAATTTATAAAGTAACATCTTAATAAAAGAAATCAAGGCAAGAGGAATGCCCTGTCTACTCCGAATCTAAAATGGGATCTGTTAAGACTTTCTAGCTGTATCTCCTCTGCACACGAACGTAAACACCTCTTGCATCTAAAACTGGATTTGGTTTTGTGTCAGCACATGGCAGGGCAAATGAATAGTGATTGGAGGGGGGCATGTAATGCATAGTTGTAAGCAAAGAAACAATGCAAGATATTCCTGGGCATCTACACTTGATGCAAAAGGATAAATCCGCCTGGCTTTCTCTCTGCGTATTTCAGAAGATATCATGGGATATTTTTATATTGTATCAGAGAGTCTTACTGTTTCTTTACAAAATTAGTTGCTTTTCCAAGTTTAAAAACACATGACATGGTATCATCAGTTTGTGTTTGCTTTCTGAGCAAAGGAATTTTTCTATTTATTTTTTTTTTTTACTGCCAGCACAGTGACTGAGAGTTTGTTTGGAGCTTCCTCCTCTTCTTATCAGCAGGACAGTATTCTGAGCCATTCCTCTGAGATCACAGACACAAACTGAGATATACTGTCATCTTAACCTTTAAAGAACATTTATTAAGCACTGGAAGCAATACCACCCCACCCTAGGTCTTCCTGATGACCTGAAGACATTATCTGTTCTCCCCACTACCAACCTTGCAATTCAAAACTGGATTATTTGCGAGCTTTTCCTCTTCAAAGCTCTGCGCTCCAGCACAGAGCTCAGTGTCAAAAGGGTGATCTAATCCTACACCCTTCCAAACTTCAGAGCTCTGCAGTCTGGAAACTTCTCCACGTCCTGCCAGTCACCTAAAATCTTGCCTACTTTTTCCTGAAGAATTGAGCAAAACTGCACACTTTATCGACTGGTTCTATTAATTAAACAATAAACTGGCATTTACAACTGTCCCCTGCAATGTTTAGACTTGGTGAAGTCCTCTCCAGTCCGGTTTTGGAGCTTTTGGGATCTTTTTCTTCACCCCAATCTCACAAGCAGCATAAAAGGCTGGAGAAATTAAGATTTGACCTTTATCCAGCCTTGGCTGATCTGGTCAATTTGTCATCGTTCTACCACAGGAGGCTTGATGCAGTCCTCTTTCTCTCACAGCACGTGCCTTCTCCTGCTCTTTTGAAAAGAGTATGTACTTTAAATGCTGCAGAAGAGAAAATAAATAGGGAAAACAAAAAGTATGCAGTCTTTAAAATGGCTAACAAGTAACATCCTCAATACAGGGAAAAATCCAATATCCCCACTACTGCATCTCTATGAAGAACTAACTGGCAGTTCACCACCTGCTAAATGATTTTAAATCTGGCTTCACTAGGTTATGCGGTGCTCACAATAGGATTGGGACCACATTTTTAGTTTGGAACAGTAAAGATGAAGTCAGCTAAAGCCTCTGCAAACATTCATTCTGTTCTTTATCTACAACTTCAGTTTGGTTATGCAGTTCACAGTTAAGAATTGGTTTAAGAGCCTCATTTTTCAGATACTATGTAACCACCAGAGTTGTGAAAGTCAAAAGAATTTGTTTCCTTAATGACATTTTATGGAAAAATTTTGCACACAAACATAAAACCTGCACCATGAAGAACATGGCTAGCAAAGCAATTAATGCCAAATAACACTCATCGTGGTTGAATAACGCATACACTAAATAACTGAAAACCTTAACTTTTACCTCTAGCAGTTCTGTTGACAGTAGCACTACTTCAACATTCATCAAAATCACACTCTCTTGATTTGCTCTGGATAAATCTATACTTTAGGTATTTTAAAATGAAATTGCTTCTTGTAAATAATTCCCAGTATCCAAGGGCTTTATAAACAAACAAAAGACAGGTTCACAGAAAACAAGATTATTCCTCTGCCACCACTTTTGAACAATACACTTATTTGGCACTACTGGCAGCATCACACAAAGCTTACCGACAGTGTCTTGGTCTGCCCTGAAAGGTAACCTCAAAATCCAAGCTTCACCTGAGCCAGGATGGCATGAAAAATGCTGCTGGTTTTGATTTGCAGGGGTTTAGTCGTAGGCAAGCAATGACAGAAGAGTTACATGAAAAACAATAACACAGTTTCTAGCCCGGATAATTCAGGATAAATTCTTAAACACTAGAAGGAACACATCGGAGAGAAACCGCAATGGTTAAGATTTCCAAGTTCAGGACTAACACTGGTCCCAGAACAAAGCCAGCTGAAAGCAGCAGGCAAAAGGGTGATGCTTCAAAATAACAACAGCAACCAAAAATCCACCTCTGTACAGATCAAAGGTGAGTTCCGTCTCATCATCCACTATCACCCGAGTAACTCCACTTTTCCTATTTTCCATGCCCCTCTCAGAGGCAAAAACACACACATTCTGATACTCCATCTTAAAACCAACAAACTTTAAACTATTTCAGAAGACAACAGCAGCACAGAAGGTCAGTAAGCAGGAAATGAACGATTAACAGCTATAAGCACGATGACAACAAAACTGCAATTTATGTAGGAAGATGGAAGTATCAAGTTTCTAAGTGCTTTTAAAAACTTCTGTAATTCCTTGGCAAGCAAAATTTTCCTGCTTTGTTTCTAACAGTTGAGAAAATTCTTAATCCTTTAAAAATCTCTACTCCCTAGACAGCATCTACAGCAATCTGTACGGCAGCTACAAATACTTCACCTCTCACTTCCTCTTGTTAAAAAAAGTCTCAACCATTTCCTCTAACCGCAAGACCACATATTGTGTGGTTATGTCTAGTAACTCGAGTTTCGATACCATCTTCAACAGAGGAAGCTATGAGAATCTCAAACAGCAGGTTTAGAACCAACTGGTTTTAGAGAGGGGAAAAAGTAAAAACAAAAAGAAATAAAGACAAAGTGTTCCAAGCAGCCAGCAACGCAGCAGCTGGGGTGGAGAGAGATCCACAATCAAATACAGTCATCAACCCCGAGACTTCTGGGGCTTACCACCAGAGCTAGCTGGTTAACTCTGTCAAGCAGTACTGACTGCAGCTTACGAAAACAACTATTTGAGTAACAAATCACTACATGAATACACAGAGCTGTGTCTGGGACATCTCCAGATCGGCAAAACTGTATGGCACACGATAATCAAGCCGCTTGGTTGTGCCTCCTCTCTCTCTGTATGTCAGGCCTATGCAATTTTGGATTCAGTCCACGGCATTTGCAGGAAAAACTGGTGTCACCTCTAGTCCTGATGCTCCCCTACTGAGAACCTATCTGCTCGCATCACTTCACTAACATGAGTAATGGCAGAAGCTACCACCATATGGGCAAATGTGCTCAGGACTCCGTCGTCTAAAAATGCCAGCAGAAACACATCTGTAGGCACTGGACTGCTTACCATGAGTAAACTGGACACTGATAACGAAAACAGAGTCCAAACTCTCAACGACCAAGGCACAACTGTGTGGCAAGACAAGGTTTCATTTCTCCCATCTCGCTCCCCGCCTTCTCCTCCCAAAGCAAGGCTACGCTCAGGCGAAACTCCCCCAGCCTGTTTTTCACCTGGTACATGTCTCTCAAGGCGTTAACAAGCACACGCACAAAAAAGTCTTCCCCATTTTGATGCTCTTCCCCATAAATAGGGAATTCCTGTTTTGTGTTAAAAGTGTCACTGTATCGCTACAATTACTAAGTTGCAACGATTTTCCAATGTACAAAATCACAAACTACAAGGAACCTCACTTCTGTTTTGGAAAGAGAAGAATTTTCAATAATTTAGTTAGAACGCTTTATTTAGAACAGTGAAGATGTGCAGAAACACTCAAATGCACATCTACTACCGACATTGCTTTGGATCAACACTGACTTCTGAACACTTGAGTGATTTGGGTTTTCTTTTTCTTGGAAAAAAACACCTTCATTAAAATCAACACTGCACTTGGAATAGCCAAGCAGCCCTCACTACTTCTGGAGCACGAGCCTGCCATTTGAGCAAAACAATTAGACACAACACATCCTTCAGCTCAGCTTTTAGGCAGGATGGCTCCGGACCGAAACCGGGGTTCAGAAACCAGCGCCACCACTTAAGCACCGAAAACTCTCCACCTGCCTCTGCCGCAGCACGGGCCAGCTGAACCCGGCGTGCGAGTGGCACAGAAATTTTAACATGCCAAACCTGCAAACGCGTGCTCGTCGCTCGAACGTAACGGCCGGCGTTTTCTGCGAAGTCAGAAACTGCTCTGAGCCATAACCGTGCTCGAGGCAGAGCCAGGACATCCCAGCGAACACCCGCTACGGCAGGCGGGCTGAGCGGCCGGACGCGCTCCGACGGTGCGTGGCACATCAGGAAAACGACGCTGGCAGGAACACGGGAAGCCCCCGGAGCAGGAGATGGCCACAAGCTCCGTTCTTCCATGCAGGAACGCACAGCGGTGTCCTCCCGAAGAGACGTCAACCGAGCACGGAGGCGTCACTCCCCCTCTCCGCCGGGACCGGCAGGTTCCCGCACCCCCGGCCCACCCCAGCGAGGCAAAACCCATTTATTCCGCTCCGGGAAGGCGGGAGCAGCTTCGGCAC